ACCTTGCGAAGGCTTTTGACACAGTTCCCCATGACTCCTTAATTAATGCGCTGAACATTTATGGAGTTAGGGGAGCTGTGCTAGAAGTCTTTGAGAGTTATCTTCGTGACAGAAGCCAGGTCGTTAAGATTCAGGACACTTACAGTGAACCTCTATCTGTGAAGATTGGTATACCTCAAGGCACTGTCCTTGGTCCATTACTCTTCATAACCTATATAAATTCCTTAACGAACTTAACAACAGAGAACGGTCTTGTAATATCCTATGCGGATGACACTGTTATTGTCTTCAGAGCACAATCCTGGGACGAAGTAAAAAATCTAGCAATTTTGGGTATCTCTAAAGTCAAAAATTGGCTTGATTCATTCAAACTCACCCTAAATATAGATAAAACTAATTACATTGCGTTTTCCTTAACAGCTGCTAATCGCCCGCCTTTTACCAACATTCTAGTTGAAGGCTTTGACAAAGAAATAAATAAGGTTTCATCTACAAAATATTTAGGAATCATAATAGATAAAAATCTTAAATGGAAAGAACATGTCTCCAAAGTACCTAATAACATTAGAGCACTTATCAGAAAATTTTATGGCTTAAGGGAAATACTATGTACAAAGCTGTTGATATGTGTATATAGGGCACTTGTAGAATCACTACTCAGATATGGTGTGGTTGTGTGGGGTGGCCTTTATAGAAATTCCTTACATCAGTTGGAAATTATTCAAAAATATATTTTAAAAATTATCTTCAAAAAAGAAAGGCGATACCCAACTCATTTACTCTTTTCTGAGGACATTATCTGTGTTCGTTCCCTCTATCTTCTTAATATATGCTCATTTGTACATAAAAAAAATTGTTTAAGAAACTAGTAGACCATGCTTATGCTACTAGGACTAAAGTCAACAGACACTTAGCTATTTCAAATAGTAATAGAAATATCAATTTACGCTTCATAAACTATTTGGCTCCAAGATGTTATAACTTGCTTCCTGGTAGCATAAAACTTATTAAGAACCATAAGAAATTCTGTGCTGAATGTAAGAGATACATTTTCAGGAATCTCCAGCAATTTATGATTCTGTTTTGATTGAATCTCTTGGGAGTTTATTCTCCTTTCCTTGATGGGAAGGCTATGTTAGTTTAGTTTTTAATTTAGGAGTAGATTAGGCTAGTTCTTAGATTATGAAAATAAAATGAACTTTTTTTTAGGATTAATATTGTGATGTTGTTTGCTGTTGACAAACAATACACAATAATTATCATATTATTATTTACTTACAAATAAGTTAAATTCAAATGGCACATACGGATGTTAAGTCATCTAGGTGCTGGATATACTTGTTATTAATCATATCATAAACCTGTTACCATTAAGATACAAAATTTGAACATGTATATAACCTTACGTAATATAATGTCTAATGTCTAATGTGATGTGTCAAATTCTGGGCCTGCGAGTGACGTCACTACTATCAGCCGCTTGTAGTGATGACGTCACCCGCAGACCTCGATGGAATGCTTGCTATTCAGGCTGTGCTAGTGTTCATTTTTTCGTCGATTTTAAATGAAGAAAAGGTGATTTTCGGTCTGTTCTCTCAGAAGAAATTAGGAGTTCTTGATCCTCGAGTATCCCAGAATTTGATGGTGGGGGATGAGTTAGGGGAGTATCACACAAATGACACATCATATAATCCAGCAAAAGATTATGCTTGGTTATCCTCGCAAAAAATTGCCTATTGTCTTCCAAACTTTTTATGGCACTTGTCGGTGGAGTACGGACAGTATCAGTGCAGTGCGGTACTACTATGATGTATTTCTTTTTGTTTAGATAAAAAGTTCTTGAATTTTTATAATTTTTTTTTCGTTTAAATTGTTTTCTGTCTCCTATGATTAAATTTATTTCTATATTTGGTTGTTAAAAACAAAAATATAAATAACTTCCGCACACTCACTTTACAGCCCAACACCACAAGAAAAATACCTTAAAAAAAGCATGACAGGGCCCCAAAAAAAAATTTTGCGTCGAGCCCTATAAAGGTCCTAGGTCCGCCACTGGGCTGACTGTACAGCACGGTGCCGCTATTCAACTAACTGACTAACATTACTGTTATTTATATGTTATGGTTATATACTGGGTGCCCACGAGCACGAGATCACTTTCCGGCTGCCATTTTTTTTTGTTCATCGATGTCAACGAAACTTGGTAGGAATGATATTCTAACCGAACGCCATTTTTATGCATTTATGACAAGTTTTCCTGACTTCCGGTTTCACCGGAAATGACCGGAACTTTTGGTTTTTAAATGGCACACCCTGTATATTTTTTCTTTTTCGGATTCTACAGATCGTTTTACGTCCTAATGTACTACTTTTGAATCGAGTTTTGTCCAATTTTTTTTTTTTTTATTAAATTTCAATTTTTTAACTAGAGTGCCATGACCGAGCTGTGAACTTCCTTATTTTAGTATTTTTGCCCTAGCTCAAAAACTAGAACAGAAACATATTACTTTCATAACAATTCTAAATGCAGTATTTTGGAGCAAATCCAACGATATATTACACTACGACATTTTTCTTAATTTTCATTCAAATATTTTTGTTTTATTATGAAGGTAATTTTTTTTTTCTATACTTGAAATTTAATTTGAAAAGGAAATTTGGACAAAACTTGATTTAAAAGTGGTACATTATGATGTAAAATCTGTAGAATTCAAAAAACAAAAAACATACAGGGTGTGCCATCTGAAAATCGAAAGTTTCGGTAATTTCCGGTGAAACCGGAAATCAGGAAAACTTGTGGATGCACAAAAATGGCGTTTTGTTAAAATATCAAGCCTACCACGTTTCGTTCATATCGATAAACAAATAAAAAAATGGCAGCTGGAAAGTAATTTCATGTGCACCCGGTAGGTATAACGATTTCTAGCTTTAGTAAATTCGTTGCATTGTTGCATTAAAGTTTGTTTCGCCAGGGTTTGTACTTGCCACCAGCATTTGCCTTCCCTGCTTAACAAATAAAAATTGACTGAAACAAATCAACGACGTCAAAAACGTTCGTCGGTTCTTAAACCAGAAGTCATTCATTTTAATTTGTCAAAAAATTGAATGTGTCATATGAATTAATCTACGACAACCCTTTTTTCTCAAGTTTCAAGGTCAACTATGAACCCTGGTGAAACGGACCTTACCTATTATTAAGTTACCTTGACAACTTTAACAAGACACCCTGGATCGTAGTCTCAAGTTTCGCTTGACTGACCGCGCTATATTTATGTAAATAACTATCGTGATCAACTACTGTCCAGTATCCAAAAACTGGCTTTAGTAAATTCGTAGAACTTGTTCAACGCTGGCTCTTACGATGGTTTTGTTCGGGCTTGAGCACTTCAGGTGCAATAAACACTTTTCAAAAGGAATAAGCGCGTAACGCCCCGGAGCTCCTCCTAGGTGTACTGCTGCTTCATTGTTTCGCGAAATGGGGTCCGGAATCGCTCGGAGCAGATGCAAATGAAACCTTTAAAATTTTAGCTCTGTACTGAAAACTTTCCAATTTTTTCAGTGACTGACATGCACTATTATGTCAAGAATGATTCCATATTATTCTGCACACATTCTTTAAAAAAATGATTTCTTTGAAATTCATATTATTATATGCTATACATTATACTTAATAACTATTGAGCTCAAAAAATTATTAATATTCAATGATTTGAGCAGGTGATAAGTTATGTAAGTCACTACTTGTGTCAGGGGCATCTTCCCTTGAAGAGTTATATACAACTTGATGCACATAATACACAGTTCCTGCATCTGTTGGTATAGGATAAGAAGTTGTTGCAACTATAACATTATTGGTAGGCTCAATCTTTGAGGCAATACTGGCCAAGTCGCTACTACTTTCTTGAGCACATTGATACCTTTCCAAGACCTCCTTAGCTCTTTCAGTAGCTCTTTGCACTGTCACTGGAGCGGTTTCTATTACTTTAGAGACTAACTGAGAGATTTTTTCTGTGGAAGGGGCTATTGCTAGCTTTGGAGCTTCAGGTAAAGGTTTGCAACAGTGGACAAAGAATGAGCAGTGTTGATTTGTATCCAGCCAATGAAGATGTTGGAAATTTATCTAAAAGAAAAAAGGCTTTGCATGTTGTCAACTAAATCATTGTGGATTGGACTCTACCTTTATAAGAGCATTCATCCCAAGCCTAAGAAACCTATTACTTTTTTTTCTACTACTTGTCCCATCTCCTAAAATCTTAATATCGATAGTGCCTCTACATCTTTTAGGATCAAACAAAAGGGTTTTATCGATTTCCTTGGTCTCATGGGTCCAACACTGATACTGCTTTCTAAATTTCACAATTGGTCCTGTGTTAGATGTTTTATGCACCCAAACTGTATCGGTTACAGAGGAAAACTCATCTACCCACTTATCACAGTACTTATTGTAGTCATCCTTCTCAATTTGGATGTGTGTTCTGCATTTCAGTTCAAAAAAGGCGTTTTGTGGACATTTTTTTATTGTCCATTTACACTCAATTATCTCCACTCGCTGCTTCAAGTTGGAGAAAATATCACAAAAATTATTTCTAGCCAGTTGTTCAGCCATGTTTTAGAAATTAGGTATTTGGGGCCATCGGAAAGTTTTTGGAAAATTAGACCCAAAACACAAAAGGATTTATAACTGATATAAACTTTAAAAATCACCTTGGCTCTTTTGTTCAATTCATGTAAACATAAACAAAAATAAATCACAAAACAACACTGAACACTGCACTGGCACTGGCACTCACCAAAGCCTCGCAACTGTCAGAGCTGACTCTGCTCCAGCCAAGCCAAGATGTTCTGCACTATCCGACTGTTCCGGAATAAATTACAGCGTTTGCGTGCTTTCCGAAAACCCCTCCAAAACGTCATTGTCAACAATTTTCCAAACAAAAAGTGAGGTTAGTTTTTCGATTTTTCTACTTTAATTTTTTTCTCTCCTCAAATTCAAAATTCAAATGAAAATTCCAAATTTCTTCAAAAATCTTATATTTGGAGTGCCAATCGGTATAACAATAGTAGATTCTGTAGGATATGTGGCCCGAGTCGACGGGATTTCCATGCAACCGGCCCTGAATCCAGATAAAAATACCACCGATTATGTGTTTCTGAATAGACTTGCTGTGAGATCTTACGAAGTTCAAAGGGGCGATATAGTTTCTTTAGTGTCCCCTAAGGACCCCACACAAAAGATTATCAAAAGAGTTGTTGGAGTGCAAGGTAAACTTAACTTATAGCTCTAAACCAGTGAATTTGAAAAGTTTATCTATGTTTTGCTCTAGGTGATCTTGTTAAGACTCTAGGCTACAGAGAATTGGTAGTCAAAGTGCCAGATGGTCACTTCTGGATAGAAGGAGACCACACAGGACATTCTATGGACTCTAATAATTTTGGACCAGTTTCATTAGGTCTACTGACTGCCAAAGCTTCTTGTATAGTTTGGCCTCCTTCTCGTTGGCAAATTATTCAAAACTTTTTGCCAACTAATAGGGTACCTTTGAATATTAAACCTATTATACGGGTATTTTAGCAAACATAACTTATAAGGTGAGAATTTCAATATTTTTTTTTTCCAGATTACAGTTTTATTATTCCAATCCTTTCAACACCTTCCTCTGTTTGCATTAAGACTTAGTGGGCTTGTAACAGTTCAATAATTAAACTTTTTGATTATTAAGGCCCGGTTGTACCTAATAGAGGTTCAGTTGAACTACTAGTAGAGTTCAACTGAACCATTGTTTGGTACAACCAGGCCTAAGTCCTGAAATTGCACAAAATTTCACTATAAGGAACTCACATTAAAAATTATTAAACATCATTATTTTCGGGTTGTGCAACAAAAAGCAAAAATCCCCTGCTTTCTATTAAATTACCCTCAAAATTACCTATTCATACTCCTAACACAATTTTGACCACATTGCCATATCCTAATAAATTCCCACTGAATTTTCTATGTTCCTTTTATTAAATCATTCTTTAGGTGGTGTAAATTATTAGGAAATAAATCATGAGGGCCATATCTTTAGTACAAAAGTTAGAATTTGAATTTTCTGGCAATATTGCCAGAAATGCTGTGACACTAGGGGACTTAGATAATGATGGATGCAATGAGCTTGTTATAGGAAATGATGAAGGAGTGATTGCCATATTTAAGGTAAAGACTCGGGTAAAGAAGTTTATTGCAACAGGTTTCTAGTTGTGTGTTGGAGACACCAATAAGTAGCATTAAGAAGGACAATCCTCCATGGCGCATTTTGGGCCTATTCTGTTGGTAACCTCACAGGGTTGGCAAAAATTCCGGCTATAATTTTGTTATAGTAGATAGAGAATTGGATTTTTGATGTTTTTGGTGGATATTTGTCTTTTGATGCATACCTATATATCAAAAGTATCATTTTCGAACAGATAACTGCAACAGTATCAAAGAATGCTTGAGAACATTTGGAAGATTTCTGATAACTTCTAAAACATTCTAGGGCTTCAAAATCATTAGGGAACCAAATAAAAACTTTGGAAAGCTTCAGAGTGCGCTAGTGCCAAGTTAAAACATTTTTAAGCATTTTGAGACACTTTAGAGCAAGCTAGAACCTTGATAAGCTTCAGAAGACTTTCAATTCAATTTTCAATCCTCCTGCATTCTGCACTTGTTTGTGACAAATTGAAGTCTTTGAAAACATTTTGAAATGTTACAGAACACTTCTGAACTTTTGGCAACATTTAAGAAAGCTTTTGGAACACTCTAGAACACTTAACATATCATATAGAACTTTTCGAAACAATCTAGAAAATGAAAATTTTCTAAATATCTTGAAAATCGTTACCATGATACTTTAGAACTGAGAACTACATAACTTAAAACTTCCATGAACATATTATTAGAACACTCTAAAACACTTCTGAACCAAGGGGTGTTTCACCAATCTAAGGTTTCACCCACTAAATTTTGTACACCTACTGTATTTGACTGCGTTGATTGCATCAAAGATGATAGTTGACTACATTGACTTTTGATCCATATATGTAACAAGATTGCAGGCTCCGCTCGCAGCGACTGCTCACGATTTTTGGCGAGTGTACGGGTGGCCCATTTTCGATGTTTTAATGGGCTATATCAAAAACCAGCAGAGATAAGTATCAAAAATCTGGGAGCACATTCTCAAGCTCTTTTTTTGGGAAAATAACAATGGCGAAGACAAATCACGGCTAACTTGATGCGTTTAGGAAATACAGGGCACTTTTCAAATTTTGTCCAATTTTAAAAGACTCTCTAATTTCCTTATTATTCAAGATATCCAAAAACGAAAAATACTTTCTATAGGCAGTTTTTCAAGTAGAATCCAGTAGCATGACCAATTTTTTTCCAGATGCCACCGATTTTGGAATATTGACGAAAGTTGTGTTTTTTTAAATGGGACACCCCGTATATTATTTTATCATTGAATGTACACACTGTACACACCAAGCCAATTGCTGACACTCTACAAAGCCCAGATTCGACCAACTATGGAGTACTGCTCACGTATATGGAGTGTAGCACCCAAACATACCTTAATGCTTTTGAATACCGTGCAAAAACGAGCTATCAAGCTGATCAATGACCCCGCACTTACTCGTAACTTGGATGGTCTCGAACATCGCAGATCTGTGGGCGATTTATCTCTCTTCTACAGGTACTATCACGGAAAATGCTCTGAAGAGTTGGCACGTGTGATTCCACCGAGAGTAGCACCTACCAGGCGAACCCGTCAAACAGATGGTAACCATGAATTTACTGTCAAACTAGAGGCACCAAGAACCTCATTATATCAGAATTCATATCTCTGGAGAACAGCATCGCTGTGGAATAAACTCCCTGCGACGGTTTTCCCTGCAGGTTTCAACCTGAACCGTTTCAAGACCAACATACACCGACATTTCCGCGCACTTGCCGCTTCTCGAGCGTGATAGGACATTTCCTTGCGAGTGCGCATATCCGTAAAAAAAAAAGCTCTTTGTGAGCTGATTTCCATGATATAAGGTTTTATACCTTTACGTTCAATAGTTTTGGAGAAAAAAAATAAATTCCGTTTTTTTCATAAGAAACAATGAGTTATAAAGAGATAGTTGAACTATAAATCGGCTACAAATTTTTTAATTCCTAATTTAATTTTTCAGTTCAGCTAAATTTTTTTTAATTCGAACTATAAATCGGGGGTGATAAATAGGCAACACATAATTTATTTAATGACTTATCTCTCTCTAGCTTATTGTTTCTTATGGAAAAACGAAATTAATTTTTTTTCTCATTGAAATCAGTTCACAAAGAGGTATTCAATAAAAAAATAATATATGGGGTTTTCCATTTAAAAAAACACAACTTTGGTCAATATTTCAAAATCGGAGGCATCTGGAGAAAAATTGGTCATGCCACTGAATTCTCCTTGAAAAACTGCCTATACAAAGTATTTTTCGTTTTTGGATATCTTGATTAATAAAGAAATTACTTAGAAGGTCTACTAAAATCTATCAATAATAGGAAACAACTTGACGTCATATATACTGACTTTTCCAAGGCCTTATAAGTTGGATCATGGTCTCATTGCCCAAAAAATGTACAACATTGGGTTTCATAGGAACCTGGTGAATCTATTTATCTCATATTTGAGTGGGCGAACACAGTTTGTGGAGTACAACGGTTTTCGTTCTGCCGACTTCAGCGCTTCAAGTGGCGCTCCTCAGGGAAGCAATCTAGCTCCTCTAATATTCGCTATATTTGTGAATGATATCACCAACACTATCTCATCTAACTGTGTACTGTTTGCTGATGATCTGAAAATTTTTAGAATTATTGACACCATACAGGACTGCTCAGAATAATTACAAAACGACATTGACTCTTCTTGGTGTATCACAAATAAACTTCCGCTAAATATTAATAAATGCCAATCTATGACTATTTCCAAACTTCATATTGAAGTGAAGTTCGCATATAGACTTGAAAATACCAATCTTTCAAGTGTAGATTCCATACGAGACCTCGGGGTAATTATCGACAGTAAACTAAGTTTAAATAAACATATTGACCAAATCGTTCAAGCTTCTTTGAAAACACTTGGCTTTATTATTAGGTCTACAAAAGATTTCACAAATACGGAGAGCTTGATTGCCTTGTACAACTCATTGATAAAATCAAAATTACAATATGCAGCTCTGATATGGTTTCCTAATTATGATGTACATGTTGACAGGCTCGAATATGTCCAGCGCAGATTTCTCAAGTACCTAAGCTTTAAGCAGGATGGCATCTACCCTCCACGGGGATATGACCACAAATTATTACTAGAAAGATTTAACTTTTTATCACTTAAGCAAAGTACAATTCTTGCCAGTCAATTGTTCATTTTCAAAATATGCAATAATTTAATTGATTCGGCTGAAATATTAAATTACCTCAATTTTTTGGTTCCCGCAGCAAACACCCGAACTCACAACTCACCATAAATTTTATCTGGAAAACTGTCATACTAATCTCGCCAGAAATGCGCCTACATATAGAGCCTGCTCATGGCATAATCAATTAATACCCATTATTCTTGAGTTGGATCTTTTCAATGGTACTGTAAAGTCATTTAAAACTAAAATTATATCACAGATAAAAAATGCTCTCCTGAATTAAATTGCTCTAGTAATTGTTTTAATTAATTATTGAATCTTGCATTTTTATGGAGTATTGCTGATTAGCTTGGGGTTAACTTTTTGTCCTGGGGTTTTGCTGGGGGAAGCTGTTGATACTACTTAATATACTTAATTTACATCTGTTTTCTCTCGATTGTTAATTACAAACTATAGTTGGTTACTTCATGTATTTGTATATGAAGCATATTATGTCAAAACCTAGTTTTAAGTTTACAATAACATTTATCTAGTCTTTAATTTGAAATTATTATAATTGTCTTGTTATTGGGTTTATCCTGTTAGACAATAAATAAATAAATAAATAAAATAAATAAATAAATAAATAAAATTGTGCAAAATCTGAAAAGTGCCCTGTATTTCCTGAATGCATCGAGTTAGCCGTTATTTGCCTTCGGCATTGTTATTTTCTCAAAAAAGAGCTTGAGACTGTGGTCCCAGAATTTTGATATCTCTGCTGGTTTTCGATATAGCCTATTAAAACATCGAAAATAGGCCACCCTGTACATGGAATGTTTGCTACTGCATGTGACTGCCGGAATTTATGAGGATTGTAAGCGATGATATTATGACTGCACAAGTTCATGTATGATGATCCCAAACAAAGCGCACCCTCTCCTAGCAAAATAAACACTAGTGCTGGGAGATAGAAGTTCTAAAGGCGTAGTATCAGGGCTTCTGAATAATTTGTGCTGCAGAGAATACTCTAATAATGGCGAAAGTCATCCAGGATTTTCTCTGTTTCAAGTTGCAAACAGCATTACTCATCTGACTACAGACTTTACTTCAAGTGATAGTGTTGTGATTTGCATTGACTTGGACTTGATTGGTAATTTAAACACTCATTATTTAAAAAGGTTGTTCTCCATTGGAAAATACACCAATCCCGTTTTCTCTCTGACATACTCCTCCGCAAGGAATGGGATTTACTCGAATTATGTTTCATTTTGCCAGCAAACTCTCATTTTAAGGAACACTTCAATTAGAATTTTCGATAATAATCTGACGCAGTTTTTTAGGTAGATTTCATTGGCGTACTGGAATTTTTTTTTCCGAGGTACCGTTGAAGAGATATGACACAAACTTCATATTTTTTAATTGGGACACCCTATAGACTTTTACATTTTTGGAATATGCATAAAATTACCTTTCCGATGATATATAATTTGTCTATATTATGTTGTAACTTGCCAATATTATTATGGTATTTGAAACTTTCCATAAGAAATAACCCTTGCGAATCACATTGAATATTTGGTTTTATTTTCTGGTGTAATTTTTGGATGTGAGACACCCTATTAATGGTAAATATAGAATGCCTAGAAACTCTAGCTGTAAAATGAAACATAACTTTGCCTTCTCCTGTGTGAGGCGTGTCCTGAGTCCTGAGGCCAACATTGCGGTGGACCCGTTAGGCACTGGTAGGGAGCTCTCGGGCATTGTTGAGCAAGGTTCTTTTTTAGCACAGGTCATTCTGACTCG